GGGCAACAGAGTGAGATTCCAACTCAAAAAAAAAAAAAGAAAGAAAGAAACATAAGCAATAGATCAACAGGCCGACAAAAAAGCTGCAAAACAGAAGTGGCCTTTCACGGCCCACCACCATAAATATGTCCTTATCTTCTGAAAATACAAACTGCATCAAGTTTTAAATACCCAAATATTCTCTCTGAGCTTGTAATATTTGAGCTCATCTACATTTCTAATGTATGAATGTGTCCATGTAAATGTGCAATTTACTGAAGACATAAGGCCACTTCTAATTTACTTGGCAGAACCCTGAAAAACTTTTTTTTTGAGTTGAGAGTCTCACTGTCACCCAGGCTGGAGTGTAGTGGCAAGCTCATGGCCACCCCAGCATCAATTTGCTGGACTCCAGCGATCCTTTCACCTCGCCTTCCAAATAGCCAGAACTACAGGTGTGTGCTAACATGACCGGCTAATTTTTTATTTATTGCAGAGACGAGGTCTCACCAAGTTGCCTGGGCAGGTCTCAAACCCTGGGGCTCAGGCAATCCACTTACCTCAGTCTCCTAAAGTGCTAGGATTACAGGCTGAGCCACCAAGCTTGGCCTTGAAAATTTTTTGAAAATTGTACTCAATTGGGACACACTGGATTCCAATAAAATAAAAAACCAAAACAGAAATTACCACAGTATACTACGATTTGCCTATTGTGTGGCATAAGTCAAAATGTTTTTTTTTTGTTTTTTTTTTTGAGTTGGAGTCTCACTCTGTCGCCCAGACTGGAGTGCAGTGGCCATTTCCGGCCACCGCAGCCTCGACCTGCTGGGCTCTGGTGATCCTTCCACCTCAGCCTTCCAAGTAGCTGGAATTACAGGCATATGCTACCATGCCCGGCTGATTTTTTGATTTATTGTAGAGATGAGGTCTCGCTGCCCAGGTGTGTCTTGAACCCGCAGGCTCAGGCAATCCACTCACCTCAGCCTCCCAAAGGCACGGGATTACAGGATGAGCCACCGAGCCCGGCTAGGTCAAAATGTTTAATAAAATACTATTGTTGGGGTTTGAGAAACTCTTTAGACAGAAATATATTTTTTAAACACACAGAATAATAAAAAAATAAATGAAGCCCTGCTGCCTACCTTTAAAAACTGTCAATGCTGTGTCACTCTTGCTCATCTACATACCGTCTATTTTTTCCACATCAGTCACATTACTTCACCCCAAAATTTAAACACAGTACCATAACACCACTATCATGCTTAACAAAATTAACAGGAAGTCTTTAATATTAATTCACTCAACATTCCCCAATATCACTTTTCAAGTGTTACATTCACATGCAGATACAAATCAGACGCATATTCCACATAAGTCATCACTTACCTCTTCTTGAATCTGTATCACCTGCCCTCCCTTACCCCAACATCACCACCGCCACCTCCTTTCCTCCCATTCATTTGCAACATAAGTCATTTTTCTTTAGAATTTCACATGACTGCGAGTGGGCTAATTTCTTCCTCATGAGCTCATTTAACATACCTATCCTGTATTTTCTATATCTAGATGTTGGATGTAGTGGCTGGATGAGTTTCAGATTGAAATCCTTTCTGGCAAACATATTTCACAGGCAATGGTGGCACTTAGGAGGCACATAATATCACTTTTACATATTATCCTATTTTAGTAATATAAAATTGCTCAGGATTTAGAGTCAGCCTGATCCACCCAAAATAAAGTTCCTCATTAACCATTCACTCAATTATTTTAGCAGCTATTGATAAACTTTGCTTAATTCTGTTATTTTATAAGTCTATGAAATAGTGACTTTTTCTGGTTCTATATTCCTTTATTGACTAGCAGAATTTTGCTAAAAATTAAGCTTTTGTCAACTACCTGGTGACTTTCACAATTCATGGAAAGAAGATTAATGTTTGATCCTTTGCTTTTAATTCCTAATTTTCATAACAGTGAATTGGTGCCCCAGCAACCTCCAAAGGTGATCAGGTTACTTTTTTTCTTATATTTCATTTGTATAATGTAAGGGGTACAAGTACAGTCTTGTTACATGGATATACTGGATAGAGGTGAAGTCTGGGCGTTTATTGTAACCATCACCTGAATAATGTACATTGTACCTATTAAGTTAACTTCTCATCTCACACCCCCTACCTCCCTTTCACACTTCTAAGATCCCAATGTTGATTATTCCATTCTCTGTGTTCATGTACACACATTACTTAGCTCTCATTTATTAGTAAGAACATGTGGTATTTGAATTCCTGTTTGAGTTATTTCACTCACAGTTAATGGCCTGCAGTTCCATTCGTGTTGTTGCAAAAGACATAACTTCATTTTTTATGGCCGAATAATATTCCATTGTATATATACACATATTCTTTATCTTCCTTTGATGGACACAGGTTGATTCTAAATCTTTTCTACTGTGAACAGTGCTGCAATAAATATACAAGTGCAGGGTTCTTGCCTTTTTTTTGGATACAAGGATTTTTTTTTTTTCCTTTCTGTAGATACCCAGTAGTGGTACTGCTAAATTAAACAGTAGTTCTATTTTTAGTTCTTTTACAAATCTCTATACTGTTTTCCATAGAGATTGTACTAATTTACATCTTTACCAACAGTGCATAAACATTCCCTTTTCTCTGCATCCTTGCCAACATCTATTATTATTTCACTTTTAAATAATAGTCACTCTGAATGGTGTAACATGATATCTCATTATGATTATAATTTGCATTTTTCCAATGATTGGTAATATTGAGCATTTATTCAAACACTTGTTGACCATTTGTACATCTTCTTTTGAAAGTTGTCCATTCATGTCCCTTTGTCCACGTTTCAATGGGGCTACTTAGTGGGGTGTGTATGTGTGGAGTTCCTTGTAAATTCTGGATATTAGTCCCCCCTGTCAAATGTATAGTTTGCAAATATTTTCTCCCATTCTGCAGGATATCTGTTCATTCTGTTGATTATTTCTTTTGCTGTGAAGAAGGTTTTTAGCGTAATTAAGTCCCATTTGTCTATTTTTGTTTCTGTTGCTTGTGGTTTGAAGTCTTAGTCATGAATTCTTTGCCTACAGCAATGTCCAGAAGAGTTTTCCATACGGTTTTCTAAAGTTTTTATAGATTCAGGTCTTACACTTAAGTCATATATGTGTGTGTAATTAAAGAGAAAGCACATCCCTCTGTCACTCAGGCTGGAGTGCAGTGGGGTGATCACAGCTCACTGTAACCTTGAACTTCTGGGCTCAAGCCATCATTTTGCTTCAGTCTCGCAAGTAGCTAGGACTACAGGAATACACCACCAAGCCCAGCTAGTTTTAAACTTTTTTTTTTTTTTTTTTTTTTTTTTTTTTTACAGAGATAGGGTCTTGCACAGACTGGTTTCAAACTCCTGGACTCAAGCAATCCTCCCACTTTGTCCTCCCAAAGTGCTGGGATTTCAGGCATGAGTTACTGTACCTGGCCTTTTAATCCATCTTGAGTTGATTTCTGAAGATAGTGATCAATATGGGTCAGTTTCATTCTTTTGTATATGGCAATCCAATTTTCCCAACACTATGCATTGAAAAAGGTGATGTTTCCCTGTGTATGTTTTTGTTAACTTTGTCAAACATCAGTTGCCTGTAGATATGTGGCTTTATTTCTGAATTCTCTATTCTGTTCCATTGATGTATTTTTATATGTTTTGGTTACTATAGCCTTGTAGTATAACTCGAGGTCAGTAATGTGATGCTTTCCAGCTTTGTTCTTTTTGCTTAGGACTGCTTTGGCTATCTGAGTTTTTTGGTGCCTTTTTTTTTTCCCCTTATTCCCTTATTTTGGGAAGGCCTCATTATGAACTCATGCATTTTAAAAATATATTTAATGCATTTTGATTTATTGCAGTTACTGTTCTTTTTGAGGCTCAAAGTTACACATTTTTGATCAGTGGGAGTCCCCTTCAGGTGGGCTCCTGGGTCCTTTTGGTACAACTACAATAGTATTTGATAGCTTCTTTGCTTTCTACTCTGAAACTGCATTTCAGATCTGGAATCATTAATTTCCCTAAGGAGTCCTGATCCTTTCAGTAGGAAACAGTCATTTAAAGACCATGATCTGGGCATTATGAATATGCATTGCTATTATTTTGTCTCTGCTTCTAGACCCTTTCAGTGCACAAAGCTAGAAAATACATAGGTTATTTAGGAAAAAAAACTTAATCGTGCATTCATATTGATTTTTTTCACTTCAAATAAAATATTACCAAGTTACTTGTATCTCTTTTTCACTTATGTTGAACATTATAGCTACTGATGATATTAACTACTGGCTTTATCCAACTATATATAGGAGTTTCAACATAGTATCAGTATTATTACTAAATATATGACTAGTAAAGGCAGGCTAAGATTTCTGTGGTTATTTCTGTCCCTAAAATATATTGCACTAGAGATGCTCAATCAAAATACCGAGTTTTAAAATTATGTGAAATAATGCTTCCCTGTGTGATTATGCCATCGCGTACAGAGCGCGTTTCATTTATTTCCATGTGCTTTTGTTTTTCTGAGACAGTTGATTTGTTTTTTTAGGATTTAACCTTCAAAATACTGGCAGAGTTCCAAATTCAATACGATATAAAAAATGCAATCAGAAAGAACTATTTGCTGTGTCTGTCCCTTTTCACCTCCCTAGTCCTTCCCTTCTATAGGTAACCATTTTCACTCGTGTTCAGTTCATCCTCCCATTATTTCTTTTTGAAAATATAAATGTATGTGGAAAACAGTATTTTAAAGAACACAATCTGGGCACAATGGATATTAATTGCTATTGACTTGTTTATATATGTGTGTTTGTATATATACATTATACACACTCTATCTACCTTCCTTCCTCTAAAGTTACTGTATACACTCTTTGGCACCATGCTTTGCTTTTTAACTGAACAATAAATCCTAAAGCTACCCTGAAATAACATAAGGAAATCTTATTTTTGTCTATGGTTGTGAAATGCTCCAAAATATGGATGTTCCATCACTTATTCAACCAGTACACTGAAGGGTTTTTGCGTTTTGTATTTTGTTTTTGACAGGAAGTGCTGTAAAGAACAGGTGAGTGAAGAAGTCATTTCTTAGCTTGGGAACAGAATCAGGAAGTAAGACTACTAAATCAAAGAATAAATATAAATGCTACTTTGATAGATGTTACAGCAATGTCCTTTCTCATGCCCTCAAATAATAACAGCTCATATAGAAAAATAGGAAGAGTCCTGAAATTTGGTAGTATGAGAATGAAATTTCATTTTACCTTAAAGATGTGGGGTACAATTCAGGGTCCGGTGCATAAGTGACCATCATACAGGTGCAATTTGGGCCTCCCACTGGTCCTCACTTCAGCTGGTTCAGGATCAGGTACCCTTGTTAATGTTGTGTGCCATGTGCTGACCCCCGCCCCTCTCCTGGCAGGGCTCCGCTACTGCTGATCTCTTTCATGTAGTATTGTGATAAAAGTCTAAGATCAACTTATGAGTGAGAACATGTGGTACTTAGTTCTTTGTTTCTGTGATAGATCACTGAGTATGACAGACTCTAAAGCCATCCAAGTTGTTACAAAGTCCAAAATTTTGTCCTTCCTCATGGCTGTGCAAAATTCCATCATGTATATGTACTGCATTTTTTTTATCCAGTACACTTTCAATGGGCAGCACGGTTGCTTCCATGTTTTTGCTATTGTGAATAGTGCTGCAATAAACATGTGTGCGCAGGTATCCTTTTTGTAGACTAACTTAAGTTTCTCTGGGTGTATATTCGCAGAAAAAAGATCGCTGGTTCATATGGAAGGTTGAATTTTAGATCTTTTAGAAATCACCACACTGTTTTCCATAGAGGTTGTACTAGTTCACGAGATAAATTTTCATTTCCAATTTTCCCTATAAACATTTCTCTCTGGTAAAAATTAATTTTCAATTGTTATATTGAAATAAATAAATGGTTTAACATATATTGCTGTATAACTTTAGTTCTTTCTTCTATATAGAAGATTATGAAATAAATTTATTCTAAAATAAAAATAGCAGGTATAATAAAAAGAAAAGCAGAGTGGAAGGTTTAGAGAGAGCCATGAGCTCTTTTCCGGCTGTTCTACTTCTGAAACTCTATGGTTTTATAAACTAAGCTCTTATGGGATTTCCTAAAATAGGACAGAATTCAATCATTTTAAAGTAAATGGAACAGAAAGACTTTACACCAAGCTTCTTTCTCTTCCTATTTATTCCTACTTAATTCTATATTTTAGCAAGTTTTGATATCAATAGAAAAGAAAGTAACCGTTGTTTAAATACAAACCTTTTTTTTGTAGTAATGTATTTTATATATAACATAGGACTGAATTGCAGAGCCTGTGCCAAATAGTCTATGTAGACAGTTTAACAAGGATTTCCTGTTAGCAACTAGCTCCAGTGAAAAGGAGTCTAACAGGCAGAACCAGATTCTCCAGGTGTGAAGTAAGCAATCTGTTCTCACTTGCTATTTAACAGCAAAAGTACAACTTTATCTCTTAATGTATTTGACTTAATTACTTGGCTTTCAATTAACAATATGAAAAACATACTGAAATTAGCTTGTGATCTATAAGAAAGAGATTTAAGTAATTTGATCAAAGTATTACATGATACTCAAATTTTCTCTCAAAGGCAGGACTCCAACACCGCAGGTGGAAAACCAGCAAAAGGAACAAGACAGAAAGGTAAATAAACTACTTTTTTTTTGTACTTTTTAATGCGAAATCTCCACAAATTGAAATCTGGTTATACCGCGACATTTAGAAATAGCTCAACAAATAATGAAAATGACTTGTTTTGGTTCGATTTGGACAGGGCTACAGGCAGCTGATGTGTTTGTGTATACTTCTGACATACTGAGTGGAATTTGGGTGTTGAACTTTTGAAAATAGACTACTCGATCAAAAGTCAACCAGAGGAAAGAAAATTCTGTAAGTCCTTTAAAAAAATAATTTCTCAATTTAGAAACACTAGAAAATCATATCCTATGAAAACAAATGTAAAATTATTTCTTTTATAGACAGACTATAAATTAACCATTCCATGTTTAATTTAGAGAATACTTTTATATTTAACTCTGAAAAAACTTATACTCATATCTGACACATTTATAACCTTTAAAGTAGAGATTAAATTTGCTATATATCTTAATTATTTGCTTAATTACTGTTTCCCACAATCTTCTAAAAATTAATTTGAGAAAATTAGAAAAGAATCTCATTGTAAAAGGACTACCATAAAATATCAAAGTACTCACTCATCTTTTTTTTTTTTTTTTTTTTTTGAGTCGGAGTCTCACTCTGTCGCCCAGGCTGGAGTGCAGTGGCATGCTCACGGCCACCACAGTCTCCACCTGCTGGGCTCAGATGATCCCTCTGCCTCAGTCTTCTAAGTAGCAGTAACTACAGGTGCATGCCACCATGCCCGGCTAATTTTTTGATTTACTGACAAGGTCTCACCAAGTTGTCCAGGCTGGTTTTGAACTCCTGAGCTCAGGCAATCCTTTCTCCTTGGTCTTCCAAAGTGCTGGGATTAAAGGTTTGAGTCACCACGCCTGGTCTCATTCATCTTTTTAATGTTTCAGCTAATATATTGAAAATACTCAAATTATACAATTTAACATAAACATTACATTTATTTGATAGTTTGAAATTTTTAAGTCAGTATCACTTAAATGCGACACATGTAGACAGATACTTTGAAAGTTACCTTACAGTTGCTATCACGCTAAATTTAACAAACAACCCACTTCAAATCAAAATAATAATGACTTTTATAAGTGTTTTAAGAGTAAACTTGAGGCTGGGCACAGTAGCTCACACCTATAATCCCAGCACTTTGGGAGGCTGAGGTGAGAGGATTGCCTGAGTCCACGGGTTTGAGACCAGCCTGGGCAACGTGGCAATAAATCTCATCTCTACAATAAATCAAAAAATTAGTTGGGCATGGTGGCGTGTGCCTGTAGTTCCAGTTACTTGGAAATTGAGGCAGAAGGATTGCCTGAGCCCAGCCTGTTGAGGTTGCAGTGGCCAGGAATGTGCCACTGCACTCCAGCCTAGGCAAAAGAGTGAGACTCCAACTCAAAAAAAAAAGAGTAAACTTGAAAATTGGTCATATAATACCTAGAATACATTATCTTCAAAGTTATGCAATTTTACATTTAATATAAAAACCATTCTATTGGCTGGACATGGTGGCTCACACTTGTAATACCAGCACTTTGTGAAGCCAAGGTAGGAGGATTGCTTGAAGCCAGGAGTTCAAGACCAGCCTAAGCAACATAACAAAACATTGTCTCTAATTAAAATAATTTTTTAAAAAAATACATTTTACGTATGTACAGAAAATTAAACAAGTTAGTTTATTAACTTATCTACACTCAAAAAAATTAGGAAAAAAGCATTGAAAGACTGTCAGATAATCTAAAATTAGACTATATAAAATTTGTAATAATTTTTAGTTTGTTTTTAGAAACTACTATTTTGTTTTTATTAAAGCAGCCAAAGAGGTTAATATTACAATAAGATCCTCTGCTTTCATTTGAACTAGAGAAATGTTGCAAGTTGACTTCACATACAAAAGCAAAAGAATATGTTCTGTTGGATAAAAGCTGGTTGTATTTCGTGAAATATTTTATTTAATCAATACAGTAACTATAGAAGGAAATGTCTTACTTTCATTCTATTAAGTATCTACCCCAGGGCATATTTTTTAAAACTCTAGGTAACATTTATTCATGCTTCTGTTTCTAGAAATTTTCACTGTCTGTAACAGGGTGAAGAACCTTTTGAGTCACACAAGTTTACTTTTCTATTTCCCAGAACAAACTGTCAAAGTTCATTATCATACGTACAAGTGAGTGGTCTAACTTCTTTTTTCAAATATCATATTTAAGCTCAAAGGTACAGCTAGTTATTGCTAGTGGAATTCAAAACCGTGTAGCAATTCTGTAAGCTAAGCATGCTAAAAGACGATTCATCTTTGTACAGCACTCTTCCCATATTAAGAAAACAATTTTAGGTATAGAAAACACTACATAAAACAGTGATCTCATCCATTTCACCTAGCCTAAGCAATTAAATTACTGCACAATGATTTTTCTTTTTTTGAGTTGGAGTCTCACTCTGTCGCCTAGACTGGAGTGCAGTGGCACGCTCACAGCCACCACAGCCTCAACCTGCTGGGCTCCGGCGATCATTCCGCCTCAGCCTCCCAAGTAGCTAGAACTACAGGCACGCGCTATCATATTTTTTGATTTATTGTAGAGATGATGTCTCGCCGAGTTGCCCAGGTGGGTCTTGAACCCGCGGGCTCAGGCAATTCACTCACCTCGGCCTCCCAAAGCACGGGATTACAGACTGAGCCACCAAGCCCAGCCTGCACAATGATATTTTATACCTACATGAACTCTGTCTCTTCCAGATTTTAAATTGTAATATGCTTAGATGTCTCACTTTGCCTAATATTCTAATTTATGAAGACATAAGATCAAGAAGAAAGTTACAGTTATAAGATAAAACCACTAGAAAACGCAATTTACATGCAGCATGTAAGTGCACCTGATACCTACATTAAGTCAATCTCTGCACAGATGAACAAGGACTTGTGGGAACATTCAGAATTATATGAACTCTGCAAAGATTATCAACTATGACTTTCAATCAATATGCACAGATACAGAAACTACTCCCTCTTTCTCTAAACATACAGAAGTGTTTGCTATAATCTTTAAAAAAAAAATCAACAAATTTTAAAACTACATCATTAAATTTTAAAGTAGGAAAGAAAAAGGTACAGGTAGCAGAAATGAAGAGGAAATGTACAAAGTAAAGAATAGTGGATTAAAGTCCATTCCACTGGGACACCAGAAGCAAATACTTTACCTTAAAAGCTGAGATCTACTGAGTTTGTTCCTTAAGGGAACTAAAACTTAGTTTCCCATGAAGTAGTAAACTAAGAAAAATACAATCTGTGGGAAAACAGGAATAACTCTGTAGACCTGCCCAGGATTACAGCAAAAATGAGATATACACTCAGGCTACAAAAATCTCTAGAGGAAAATTGAGGCCTATATTTATACTACCTGGGCCACAACTGGCACACTCCATGAGGCCCTAGGGGTGACAACTACAAAAATAGTCTCAGAATGCCCCATAATTTAGCTGGACAATCAGGGCATTCCTGTGTAACTCCCCAATGAAGATAAATTTGCAAATTCCACTAAATACACTTGCCTACCCCTAAGAGAGCGGCTACAGCAAACAAATAAATGTATTCCTGAGAAACCAGAAATAACTTACCAATGTAAAGGATTTGTAACATAAATATGCTTCAAATGTTCAAAGAAATAAATGAAGACATAGTATTCGTAAACCAAGATGAGCACAGTATAAACTTTATAGGTAACTTTAAACATCATTTATATAATATGCATGTCATGATACATAACACTGAAAGGAAACATAATTCTATTTCCAGTCTATATTTTTCCTTTAGTGTCAATAACATATGGAGCAGTTAAACAAAACAAAAAAGGTAGAATATTTACTTGTATTTTGCTAGTAAATTTATTAAGCTGAATGAAAATAAAATATATATTTAAAGAGTTCCTTAAAGTATGTTTGATTCAAACATAAAAATGTGGTACTCATTCAGGGAACTGTTCTTCCAAGGACAAAAATCCAGGTAAAAACAACCTCTATAGGGGTCAGTGTCAAATATCTTGGTTTTCAATATCAGTGGCAGTAAAATTTACCTTCCCAAAGGCACTCTGCAAAGGTGTACTGTGTCACAATATCAATTAGAAATATTCTACTTCTTTTTTTTTTCTTTTTTTTTGAGTTGGAGTCTCACTCAGTCGCCCAGACTGGAGTGCAGT